GATCATGTGTCTGGACAAGTAGTATTCAACAAATGTTGAATGACCTGAAACTGATTGTACAATGGTCCATATGCATGTCACTTTATACCACTTTATATGAAATTATCCATATATTTCTCTTCTAGTCCCTAATGTTCCTACAACTAAGGATCAGACTATTATGTGGTATGTAGTAGGCACTCAACATATATTAGTCCATGGCTCCGCCCTTAGGCTTTGTGCTGGATCTCAAATAACCTTCATGAAACACTGTGAGACATAATTACATTCATTTCACAGATAAAAATGAGGCTCAAAGACTTTCACAAAAAGTCATACAGGTGTCTGCTGAAGATTACAATGATCAAGTATCATTTAGGATGCAGATAATTTCAAGTTTCAGATGAACAAACCCAAAATGAATTAAGTAATAAGACACTTTATTAGCTTTTGGGACAGGAAGTTCAGTAATGACAAAAGCTCAGAGTTAGCTATTTCACAGTTCAACAGGGTCATTGAGGACTCTGATGTACATGTTTAAATCTCTCCATTTTGCTATCCATAATGTGACCTTTACCATAGCCTAGGTCCCCTCAGGGCACATCGAGCTACAAGCTTCTGGTTCTCATCTAGCAAAAGAAACAGCTTGGTTGGTCATTCCTCCAAACTTCCTTCTGTTCTCGTGAATCACACGGCCATTAGTGAACTGAAACTTTTCAGTAGAGATAGGATCACCCTTAAACCAGCCAACCTTCAGCTAAAGGCAATTCCCAAAACTTCACTGCTGCTACTCAACAAGGCAGGAACAAAATGGGTGCTGGAGACACAACCACAATGCCTAATTCAGGCCGTGGTAGAAAGAGGACAAAGCCCATGAGAGCACGAGCTTCCCCAACTCCAAAGAACAGCCTGCTTACACTGAACACTCCATCATCTATAAAACTAAAACTGTGATTACTAAAAAGTGGTGTGCTCATGGGGGGAGATGGGGGATTAATGTGGGATGGATTTAAGCATTAATGAGGAAAAGAAAAACAAATCTTTCTCTCTGGCCTGATCCCTGACTTCTTCCTGTCTTGCGATTCATGGCTTAGCAATACCACTGAGTTGCTGGCAGCTTCTAGGACCTCCTGTCCTCCCTCCCCATCACCTCCCCACCAAATCAGACTCTAATACATCCTTCACCTTTGCTCAAGCTGGTCCTTCCTCCTAGAAAGAGTTCTACTCCCCCTGAATCCCATTTCCTTCTTTGAGAGGCTAGCTCCTCCTCAGCGCATGTGTCAGGTCAGACTGCTTCTTCTAGGGGTCACTGGCTCCCAGAGTGAGAAGCCCCAGGCCTCCATGCACACAGTATCCTGGAGCTTGACCTCCTGGCTGTATTGAGGGTGTCTACCTAGTTGATCTTTATGCCCCGCCCACCACAACTGCAAGTTCCTCCACATAGGCTCCACGTCTCATTCATCTCCGTGACCGCCACCCCTCCGTCCAGAACCTGGCACATAGTAAACATCTAAGAAACATTTGTTCAGCTGCTGAATGAACCAGCCATCTCCTCTTTTTTTCCTCACAACCATGCCTTTAAGTCTGAGGGAAACTATTCCCTGCTAGTAAATACCTAGCATTCAAAATGTAAGGAATCTATAAACATGAGGCAGAATGCGGTATTTTGATTTTCTACACACGTAGCCGCCTTCCTCACACAAATATTTTAATCCTCCATAGCTGTTCCTGCCTCACCTGCAAACCCAGGAGTTGATTTAGGTTTCTGTGCTTGCTTTTGTTTATTTAAAACCATTTCTGACAGCCTTTGCTTTGTTTTCCCTGAAATTTCATGTCCCTAATATTTATATGTCAAGCAACTTTCAAATGCCCTCTTGCAAGCTGCGACTGCCTTTTCTTTGCACATCATGTAAAAGGTGCCCCAGTTGGTTTTCTCTTTTCCGTCTTCATCAATGTCCCTCTTGTTTTCAATAAAGTTATTTACACCATTTAAGGGGCCCTGCAGCTCACAAGTCGGCTTAGAGACCCTCTTCATGTTCCCCTGATCTTCCCGACCAGTCTCATGTCTTTATCTTTTTTGAACAGACACTCCAAGCTGCTTGCGGTCTCTACCTAAAGTGCTGTCACTCTAATGTCGATGCTGCTGATACTGAGCACTTCAAAATGAAGAGCTGAAAACCAAAACAGACTTCTTAAATATTGCTTTTACATTTAACAGGAAAATGTTTCACTGCAAATGCACATGTTTTAGCATTGTTTTGAGCTGCCATTTGAAGGCACCAACTCTTTTTCATGTGTGAAAACCCACTTCCTCAGAAATTCCAACCTTATGCATTGCCGGTGTGAACAGAAA